AAGATGAGACTTAGGTACCTACTTCCAATTATAATTTAACAATATTCTTAAAATAACTCAAGCTTTTATACCGAAAACAATCCATACGCGTTGGCGGCGCGCGGCAGTGACGTCACAGAAGATTATCCTACGGCCAGTAACACAATAGAATGAAATTGGATAAAGGGACTCCCACTTTGTACCACGGATCTTTAGGAGTGCCTACTACATAGTATTGTCAGGATTAAGCCAAGAAAGTTTTCACAAAGACTTGCCTTGCCTTTAAGGGTAAGCTCATTGTCGTAACTTAATAATACATTAGGGACACAGATCAGTAATGTATGGCGAATCTTTCTTTAGTAATAATTAATTTGATGTTTCTTTGTTACCGGGGCGGCTTGAAAAGGATTATCGGCGTGGTTTTGATATTGGTTTTGATATTCATTATCATCAACAGCCTATAAATGCCCACTGCTGAGCAAAGCCTCATCTCACACAGAGAAAAATTGAGCATTAATCATCACGCTTGCTCAATGCGGGTTGGCGATTTTAAACTTACAATTAGAAATTATAAGTCTAGGTTTTCTCACCACATTTTCCTTCACCGTTTGTCAGCAGTGTATAAATAAATAATCTTAGAAAGTACATATAACTCAAAAAAAGTCACTTTGATACTTGCCGTTGGTAGGTTTCGAATTTTTGCCTTCATGCATGAGAAGTGGACGTCTTAAACCTCCGGACCACTGTGACACACTACGATTTGGTATTGGTTCAAAATGAATATACACAATTTTGATAGTGTACCTATGGATGTGTGGTCACGTATCGGTAATTCGTGCCTTTGTTACCTATTGTAACTTACGTGTTTATTGTTCCATATACAATATACAAACCAAATTCCCTATAGGGAATAATAATATAATATTTAAAATAATTCGGATCAAAATCTCAGTAACATTTTTCCCTATTTATCTTTATTTCGAAATTGACCCTAAATTCGTGAGTGCCAAGCTCGTTCGCTAAAGAGACTCAAACGACACAAAGCAACCTTAACAGGACAGGTCCTAAAAATTAAAAACTTTGAGATTTCTACATTTTTATCGAAAACATTATTTTGAAGCATGTCTATTACCATGATGTGTTTTCCCAAAGATGAGTGAGCACTGTTTTTGTTTTTCTACCATCCTAAGAACGCGAGTGATTCACTCATTCATGGCACATGTCATTCTCGACCTGCCTTGATTTATTTCGACGCAATGGCCGCCCTTGAGTGAACGCAACCAGTCCATTCAATACGAGTGTGACTCACTCAACTGTTTACTCGTTCATTCGTTCATTCAACAAACAGCGCGTTGAGCTGAAATGATTTTCTTTTTGTTTTTTTTTTCTGCCGCCTAATTCACATAGAATGGCGAGCAAGCAAAGGAATGTTTTTCCACTTTGATAAAAATCGTTTATGGATTTTGTTTTTCGGCAAATGGCTATAGATTTTTCCTCTCCTCACTGTTCTTTGTTTGAATTTTGGTTTTATAATCCTGGCTTAAACTTGTTTAATAGGTATCAACAATTTTCATTGTGTTATGGAACGACCATTACCTACGTCATACATGGTCCATTAAATAGTCCATTAACAAATTAACTACTTTAAAACCCACTCACATTTGAAGTTCTATGGGTACCTACCTATATATTAAATTTTACCCTGTTATTATCTTTATTAGTGTTGTCACAAAATATTCCGGACTACCATGACAATAATTTTCTTAGGAAAAGTGACATTTGCAGTAGTTCCAGTGCATAGGGTTGCATTTGCAGGCACAAAAACTTTTTCATGTCTAGCTCTATGCTAGAACACCTGACTAAAGTACCGAACAAGAACAGCATTTCAAAATTTAGTAAAGTATTCCAGAATGTAATTTCCCTATACTTTGTAAACGGAACACGTAGCTTCCCCACAAAAGATCATAGGCCGTACGATGCAATTCCCTCGCTTCTACGTTGATTTTTTCAATTCTTTTTTTTAATTTCTTTTTTTTATGTTCATGGTACCAACAAATGTAAATGGCGGTTTATGATGCAAATTAATTTGAATGATATTCTCGTTAAAATGTATGAAGAGATTTAGTTACGAATTCGTATTATCTGTTTTCGTACTTAATGGAGTTCGAACGAGACGGTTTTATTTGAAAATTAATGTTTTCTCGAATGAGAATATTAAATGGAAGGACAAAATGGTGGTGTCATGACAATTAGTTGTTCTATTGTCTTTTGATGTAGTTGGGCGTCTAAATATTTCTATTTAGAGCTAGACTTTTGGTAGATCCTTATTAACTGATTGACAGAAGATGGTACAGATTATGAAAAGGAAAATTACAATATTTTTGCAACTATCATATTAAGAGTAAGCAGCAAAAGTGTTTTTTGAATTTGAACCTTGTAAACTGGTTTTTACAATCCACCTACCAAGCATAGATAGTTTGGCACACCCTGCAATGAAGAGAAGGTCCATAATCTTGTAGCAGACTGTCACAAGTTGTCCATGACGATTAGCAAAATACAGGTATAAATCTTATATTATCACAGATGCTACGTATGTATTCTAGAAAACTTTTATTGATGAACACATCAAAGCAACGAACGTCAACAGAAGTCAGGCTATTCTATTCTGGTCCCAAAGTTCACGGTATCCTGTTGTTATTGAAAAATAATAAATGTTTTATGTCGTTCAATGTTAAGCTGGAATTCCACGCCTACACGTGCAGATAATTATACTACGCACACATGTACACTCACGTCATTTCGTACCTATGTGCTGGTGTGTGTGTGTGTTTGAGTATGTATCTGGCTTTGAAAATATATTTTGTTACTAAAGATACGTTTTAGAGCTTGAGCTGTCATTTAGGTACATATTTACTTAAAACTGTTTAGGTACTTACGTCATTAGCTATAGGAACCTATATCTCTGCTAATAAATCAATGCTATTGTAAAGTCTGAACTATACATAGCTCAGGGTAACATATCCTGCTAAGAATTTCGATATCAGAAAACCCAAAAATACTGAGTCAAGCTTAGTGCTACATCTATTGTAGTCCAATGTGTTCGCATATCAGTTATTATGAGCCCGTACAATAAGAGTTTAGTCCACTTCTGTAATATTAATAGACAAAAGTCTTCAATGAAATACGTCATGCAAAACGATGCCAACTTTCGTAGAACGATGACGGTTTAAACCGAAAAATCATTTTAAGAACATTGAACAATATTAAAAATGGAATTACGAATACATAAAAATGATGATGACATTACGCCCATTCATTCATAAATACAGATTATAAAAAAACTCTTCGAAATAAAAAAAGAAGTTTGCGGAATCGCGCGGTTATATGCCAGATACTTTAAAATTCAAACTTGGAATTCCGCCGTCACACTGTTTGCTTCATTCATAAACGTGCAGTGCGCGCATGCAACGTGACCGTTTCCAAATTCGAACAAGGCTGCCAGTTCCGAGTTTCTTCGAATCGATTATTTTTAGTGAAGTGACCAACAATCGAAAACTTTTGTCATCCGCTCGGAATTCGCTTTACTCGCGATTTATCAAGAATCCCAACTTTTCCGAGCGGTGGAATGCTATTTACGGAGTACGAACTAAGTCCATCCATCTAGTTAGTCGATATGTATATTCTGTGTACCAACTTACGTAGTCGCATTTCTGTATGCCTGCATCATAGCTGCTATAAATACGTTGATAATGATGCGAATATATTGACACAAAACAAACATTGCGGTTGATGTAATTCATGGGAAAATTTCACACAACGCGAGTATTTTAGCCATTAACACGGATTAGCATTTTCAGTTGGTATCACAATTTGTTTGTCTGACTATCTGAAAAATTTAATATATAATGCACATAAGTATTATTAAAACCCACTATTTGCCTGTTATAAACTCTGTGTTATTTAGGAATAGCAATATATAGCATAGCATAATTTATCGCCGTACACCGGATACAATTCCGGACACCAAAATAAAAAAAAAACATAACTAATAAATAAAAAAATAAAAAATTCTCGTTGAATAAAAACACTGTAATTATTTTTCTAAGCATATTTTTGAATTAAGAATTGCAAGACTCTATGTCACCTTCAATTGACATATTATTGTAATGGAAGAACGCATTTTGCTTTCGTTCGTAAGTTGGCGCGAAAATTAAATGAATGAACGAGAGTAGGAGCAGAATACTATAATTGGTAGTAGTCGTCTACTATTTATGCGTCATAGAAAAGAGAGTGAACGCATCTGCATTCAGATGTTTGTACATGGATTAGATAAGAAAAAATGGAGGTGGTTTTTGCATAATCGAAATTTAATTTGTTTTAAAATCGTCTGACAGACAGACCTTGATGTTTTTTTTACCTAAACAAGTTCATTGACATCTGCAACAGTTTTATTAATTTATATTACATAAGGTTTAATTTTAAACGTCATTCCAACAATTCAATTAGTCGTTCCTCCCAAATTATCGCCATTATTATAACTTCCATAACAATATACGTATCGTACGTATTCTCAAGTATCGTAATTAACCTGTACTTGTTTCATTGTTTCAGGCGACATCGTGACACTTCACCACGCTGCCGAAATGACAGGGCCCTTATGATACCCCGACTGGCAACCACCACACAATACATCGCCATTTTAGCTAATAATGTGTCAAATTCTAGAATAGAAATGTATATAAATTAAATGTTTTGATATAAAAAATATTAAATTTACGCTTGAAAAATTTATTTGCTAAAAGTTATTTTTAATTTTCTCTAAAAATAAAATTGTAGATAATCTAAACTAAATTAAAAATAATAGCGACCATAAATTTTTATACCACAATAACTAAACGCAAAACAGTGTTAGTGTGTGATTTTGTAAATGTTGTAAAATGACGGTGTGGTATTAATTGCGCTAGCTTCCGTTCATATCCGAGTGAGTATATATCGGCGGGAAATTCGTGGGGTGAGCCAAAATGTCGTCGCGAACGGGGCAGCGTGGCACGTCAGTTGCGACCAGCCAGCGGAAACATCGCTCGCGGTCCACCACGAGATACGACATGGAGAAAAAACCGAAGAAGAAGGACTTCAGGACATCAGGCACCACTAGCCTGGTGTCCATCCCCAATAGCATCAAACTACCCATGCTCAACAGTGGCCTCATATCGCTTGGTGAGTACTCCTTATATTAATTTTTGTTACGGAAAAAAAATAGTGCAATCAATAATGAAAAAAAAATGTGTGAGACTGCAATGGACGCGGAAAAGATGCAACTGAAAAAAAACATACGTTAAAAAAGTTAGTTTTCGTAATGTCAGTGATTGATATTATTTATTTATTTATTTATCAATCACTATTTTCTTTTAGGTACAATAAATACTCTTTCAATTTGTCTGCCATTTTCGGATACGAACACACTATCGTAAACTTTAATTCTTATTTTAAAACTCCGTGTTGACCTCTAACTTACAAGAAAAAGCAATTTTGGTCTTAGTTTGGGGAGTAACAAGGTCTCATATTGTAGTTTAGGTCCTGTCTGGAACAGTTGAACATTCTCTATTTAATCTTTCTGTCAGTTCGTCTTAGCAAGCTTACACGCCTGTCAACCGGCTTAGTACTCATTAATATAAATTAAAACGTAGTAAGTACAAAGTGCGTGAATTGCTGTTTTAGTTACCAACATGATTTCTTCTGCTGACCTACTTCTGTTAGTGGTATTAAGTATTTACTTATGTTGGTGTAGACAATGTATTAAGTATTATTATTTGTGTTTTGCGTACAATACATATTTTATTGCCTTTTCTCTTCCCCGTAGATGGAATGGTGCCCCGTACCTATATGGCAATAAGCTCACCCCCTATTACATGGAACTTATAACAAATAGTAAAAAGTGAGTGTTACATTGTATAGTGGCATTAATTATCATAATGTGCACCTCTGCCTACCCCTTCGGGGATAAAAGGCGTGATGTTATGTCGTTGTAGGTATCATAATATCCTTCGTGCATTTATGTTCTGCGTGTAACTGTATAGTAGCCAGGTGCCACAAACGTTGTTTCAAGTGATTGTGTCCGCCATTTTTACAGCGTCCTTGCCGACATCAGTCAAAAGCAAATAATCGAGAATGTTTCCAACAAAGTTATATTCAACAAACAATTTCATTCATAAAATTACTAGGAAGCGCTTTAGTTTTAAATAAATTAATAAATCTGTTTACATCGCTCCCACTTCCATTGCGGATATTCTTAGGAGAAACAAAAACAATTCGCGGTAAAAACGCGCAATGAAAGTCAACAAGAACAAGATGACAGATAACTTTATATTTATTTTAAATCTATGAAAAGTAATTTTATGTGTCTAAAATCATAATTAATTATATTCTTTCTCCGAAAATATAATTCGCCTCGTTCATATCGGTTATGGTGGCCCGGAGGTTTAAGACGCCCACTTCTCATGCATGAGGGTGCGGGTTCGAAACCTACCAACGGCAAGTACCAATGTGACTTTTTCCGAGTTATATGTACTTTCTGAGATATTTAGACACTACTGACAAACGGTGAAGGAAAAACATCGTGAGGAAACCTGGACTTATAATTTCTAATTATAAGTTTGAAATCGCCAACCCGCATTGAGCAAGCGTGGTGATTAATGCTCTAACCTTCTCCGTGTGAGAAGAGGCTTTGCTCAGCAGTGGGCATTTATAGGCTGTTGATGATGATGATGATGATATCGGTTATAATTAACCTTGAGTGAATATTTTTGTGATACTGTTTGGGTTATTTCTACGTTAGTGCGGTAACAATTTACTATTAGTTAGTCAGTTTTATTGCGACTGTATTTTCTAGAAGCATTAATGTGTTTTTTTATTATGACAACGGTGCATAGTTTAAGTATTATTTTTTACTAAAACATTAAATACTAAAACAACAACAACAACAACAACACAACATCACGCCTTTATCCCCGAAGGGGTAGGCAGAGGTGCACATTACGGCACTTAATGTCAGTGTACAATATAACACCCAATTTTCACTACTTATGTTATGAATCCCATGTAATAGGGGGTGAGCCTATTGCCATATACCGGGCACACATCTAGACTCCATGCTACCACTAAGAATTTTTTAAAAACCCATTAGTACTTTGCCCGACCCGGGAATCAAACCGAAGACCCCTTGCCCGGCAGTCGCACTTGTGACCACTCGACCAACGAGGCAGACAGATACCAAAACAATCGCTATCTTAAGTACCTTTTAGGGGTAAACCATAAGTGTTAACACATGCATTATCTGTAAATGGAAAATGATGTATAAATCCATCTACCTATTTATACGCAAAACGGCCAAATACTGTGTTGTTATCATGCCAAAACACGAATCGCAAGTTTGGCATAAACACGATGAGTTAAAATGTGATAAAACCTCACTAAAGCAACTCTAAAGCATTGTTATATCGGTCAAATAATAGCAAACATTTAACAGATATGCAGCCAGATTAATTCAGCCACTAATATTTGATGTAGCTTTGTGATACATCGCCAGATTATGTTATTTGATGATCGGAACGTTTATGGTAGTTATACCGATGGTTGGATTGTTAAATGCTAAATCGATATAAATATATTGACTACTTACATCAAAAAAAGTAACTATATTCTAAAATACTGATTACTTGTATCGATTTTCGTTTTCAAGGACCTGCTTTACAATTTCTGTTGTAGTTATTGTTAGCTTATCTGAGATTAAAATACCTATTGATACATTTTGTATAAAAAATTTCGATAGAAACTTAATCCGACAGTTAAATAGGTATTAAATGTTGAATGAACAACTAAGATTTGTACAGATTGTAAACTCGAAGGTAGAATAAACGATTCTGATTTTAAATAATGTACAACAAATACCTACATTCTATACAATTTACCTACGTATCTATACATTTGTATACAATAGTCCGAACTCATCCAAGCGAATGATACGATATGTATGTATGTAGCTATGTACATACATAGAACATCTCAATGGCCGTTCGGATACACGTACATTTTATAAATAGCATATGTGGAGCGAATTTTCCACTGCGATACATCCGCCTCTGGGCGTTCAAAGCTCGAAGCGTTACAACAATAAAGATAAGGAGAAACTAAATGCTCCATTTTGAATTTAAATTGTTGAAAATGTTCTTCGTTCTGATTCTGATGTTCGAATTGTGAAGTTTTGTCTTTATTGTCCATGGTATCTGTTTGACTGGACATTGACATTCTATTTTCAAATGTATCAATAGCGTCGCAGAGATACCACTATGATTTTTTTTTAAATCACAAAGAATTTTCATTTTACATCTCTTTCAAATCATCTTATGTAGAAAAGGATAGCAACAGTCGAAGTTTACTTTGGAATCCGAAAGTCTGTTGAATCTGTTAGCACCTGTTAAGTGTCGTTATCTATTGTAACGTCAGGGAAACTTTGGGAATCATCAAAATTTTGTAGATTAGCCTACTTAACGTCAAATTTGATCGGTAATTGCGGTAACGAAGATTAATATCTACGTTGGATGATAAATTGAATCGTTGTTAGGAAGCACAAGGGCTGCCAACCGTGATTTATTACGTAAATTAAGGATGAACGAAATAGGTACATTTTTCAAATGTTTTGGGGATAACATAACACGGCGTTGCCTACACTTTTTCCTCAGATGTAAATGTAATTGGCTAATGGCATTACGTGTGCGTCGTAAAACGGGGGGTAGAAATCGATTTCAAATACTTCTTGAACCAAGTACGCATACATAACATAAGATCACGCATTTTATCCCGAAAAGGGTAGGCAGAGGTGCACATTATGATACTACAATGTAACACCCACTTTTCAGTATTTATGTTATGATTCCCATGTAATAGGGGTTGAGCCTATTGCCATATACCGGGCACAATTCCAAACTCCGTGCTACTACTGAAATTTTGTTTGAAACCCAGTAATACTTTGCCCTACCCGGGAATTGAACCCGAGACCCCTTGCCACTTGCGACCACTCGGCCAACGAAGCAGTACGCATACATATGTATCTATATAGTTATAACAATCAAACGAAATAGTTTATAAGTCACAAGTCAATTGTTTATTAATTAATGAAGTGGTAAAGAAATTAAAAAAAGAAATACTTGTTTTGTTCTTCTGATCGCAATGAGGTCGCCGATCAACATACATACTATTGACAGTTAACAAGACGACTATTAGATGACTATATCAAAATATCTTCTTGACAGTGTATTATGTCGGCCGGTCTCAGTCAATCTATTTTTTTTTTGCGTCTTTGGCAACCGAGTCTCCAAAACGGTGTTGTCGACTATACTGCCAGTGTTGTGTGGTTAAATATTTATCGATATATCACTACATCTAGAGCTTGAATTGGAATTTGTCATCGCACTCTTCTGAGAAATCTGTCTACATGGTAGGTCATAAAAACACAGACAGACTAAAATAGTTTTATTAACAGGGTCAGAATAATTCTACAAGATAGTACAATATACCTACTTACTTTCGGAATAACTATTGTCATTTGAATGTACATACGTAGATATAAACGATTAACTATACCTAGAAATACCAAAAAGTCACCAATAGCTTAAGATACACTGAACTGTCAAATTACTGCAATAGAATTAAGACTTTATTCCAAAACAATAGAGTTGCAAATGTTTTAAAAGAATTTGACAGGTTGGAGTTGTGACCTGCTGTATGCTGTACTAAAATAGACTGGAAAGGCTGTTGGCCCGCTCTAGGTCAAGAGAAATGACGCCAGAACGTTTGTTTACAATCTATAGCAAACTGTACGTTTTGTTTTACACTTTTAAAACGTGTATCATCGCCATTTTGGACATAGACAAGCATTATTTTTTTCGTTTCGAAAGTTTATGGTACAGAGTTGTTGCGGTCGATGTATCGATTTTTATTATTGATACAAGTGATCCAATAGGTACAAATTTACATACACTTTCCAATCTGACTTCAGATTTCAATAAATGAACATTGATCTACTTTTCCCCTGAGTTTCCTTTTTATAATAATTCATAGCAAGATATAAAAGAACATTCAAAGACATTTTCAAATAGTTTTTACTCATAGTGGATAACTGGAAATGGGCCATAACGTATTTAATTTATTTCTGTACGTAA